TACAAGAATGTGTACTTTGTCCTTTCAAACGATTCCAGAGTCTGTCGAATTGAATAGGCACTAATAGATTTCAAAATCCCATAAAAAAGTGGCAATATTTACTCCATTATTGGGTTATGGGACACCTACCCCGTGGCTACCATCCCCCGACCCCGATAATCACCCCCAGTCTAGTACCCCCTGGGACAACTACCCCCTAGGACAATTAACCCCCTAGCGCAACCACCCTCTAGGACGACTACCCCCGGACAACTATCCTTAGGGGTAGTTGTCCGAGGGATAGTTGTCCGGGGTAGATGTCCGGGGGAAGTTGTCCCGGGGTAGGTGTCTGGATACGGCAATTATGTGCCCCCCCCCCTTGGCCCTCTCTCTCTTTCTCTCTGTTATATAGATAAATATATCTTTATCTCTCTTTCTCTCTTTCTATTTATCTATTTATTTTTCTCTCTGTCTAAGACTTTTCCTCATCTCATTTCCTCATTTCTTCATCTCGCTCAGCCCTGGCAGTCTGGCACCCCTCTCTTTCTCTCTCTAAATATGTTGAATATAAGACAGTTTAACGTCTTAAAAATAATTCAGCACAAATCTGACTTGTTAGAAGTTGTAATGCTGGAAAAAAATTATTTATTAGATATCTCAAAAACCTTTTTAATTCTCCCCAAAACACATTTATTGGTTTTATAATAAGAAGTCAAATATTCGACAACCGGTATTCATTGATAATGTTGGTTTCATTATATAAATCAAATACTTAGATTTTATGAACTTATATCGTTTAGTTCGTCAACAAAGATTTCTATATTTTCCAACTGTGTCTGCAATATTTAATAAGGAAATATATTTCACAAAGTAAATATCTTTTGTGTTTTCGTATTTATTAATGACATCCCTTGAAAAAAATGTTTGAGTAGCGTTTGCTCTTACAATACAAACTGAACTGCAGAAGAAGATGATATAGTAATCTTCCTTCTTTCGTTTTTATTAATTGAAGATTGACGACATCATCCTACTTGATTGCTTAAAGCCCCAGTGTCCTACTTGTAGCTACTTGCTCCCTCTATATAGAAAACTTCCCAAATCGGTGCCTGTTGGTCCCCGGCCCCATGATCCTCTTTTTCTTATGTAAGTTGAGAGTTGAGTTATTAATGAGATAACCACCTGTCAGTGACCTCGATGTGTTGTCTAATCCCTTCTGGCCCAGTAGTATTGACGGTCTTTAAAGTTCATTCGAATATCTATCTTTTTCACATCGGCCCCTAAGGGTCAAAATGGTGCAACGAAGATAATAGTATTCAAATTGCGAGTTATACCACATATAAGTCTTCATCTCCTTACGCATACTGAGTTCATATTCTATAACATCGGCTAAGAGCATTTATATAAACATGTTTTACCATAAAAGAAAATAGAACCCAACACAAGAAACGCATTTCTCCTTATATAAATGACAGCCAGGTAATGCCATAATCTATTTTCAATATACAAGTAATAGGAACAATTACTGAATATAGAACCATATCCAAGCCTATTCTGAGTTCTGGTTATTAGACTGCATTTCGAGAAAAACTGGCTTGAAACAAATACAAATAGTTTTTCATGCAGAAAGAATTGTAATTAGTAGGTTGTTTGGTTTTTCGGTATGTATTTGTGTTTGTTTCCATTAGAACAGCAAATTGTAAACAAATGGTGGATAAATTGCTGAAATCATATTTACTGAAAACATTATTATATATTCTTAAATCGAATTCATACAGCAGATAATACAAGATATCGTCTTTCTTTAATCCTTGCTTTGAGTCTTAAAATTTTATATCCATCATTACCAGAACTCAAGATTACTTCTAAATGAAGAGTCATAAGATTTAAGACAAACAAAAATGAAAGTAACATTTTGATATAATGAGAAAGATTCTGTAAACCATGAAGGAAATACGATAAAGACAAGGGATACGAAACATTATCATAATCGATAATTAATCAAAGCCATGTTATGTAAGCAAGCTGTATTAAAGTAGGTTCTTTGATGCCTTTAAATAGTTGCACTATAATGCACTGATTTTTTTCCATTTATAAAATCGTTTTTTTCTTTTCTTAAACTTACATTACATTTAATTACACTTTCATGTTGAAATGAAAAAAGCATTACGATCACTTTGTACAGAGACTATGATAAGGATGATTGCATGACGCTCGTAATTCGTTATCAATCGATAGAGTTCAAATTTGTAATGTACGTACATATCTATTCTTACCCCTTCTTGATAAAAGGCTTCTCAAATAGAAAATTGCAAAAACTATTATTGTTAATGATTTAAATATATATATATATATATATATATATATAGTGATGTAGTGATGTACATAGTTTACCATTACAATGTCGATATCTACACAAATATACTCTGTTAAGTAACTGATTAGGATGTCTACCGCAGGTCATATTTACAAAATACATCAGTGACAGGCGAAAGAAAAAGGTAGGAAGTTACCTTGGTCATTAACTGCTATAACTGCATACGCCTTCAAAGCTAAAGTAATTCACTCAACCCAAGTTTTATAATTGCAATATCTATCCCCTACTTTACCACATAACTAAAGCCAGGGTAATCATCGGGGCAGCGCCAGGAGCGTCACGTACAACGTGACGGACATGCGCGCTATATAAGAAGCCACCATTATTATTGTTATCATAACTAAAGTTATGTTTTCAAATGCACAACAAATATCATCTATCATATGTTTTGAATATTATCCATCGCCAGTGACGAATTTCAAAATCAGCTAGCTCTTCAGTTATGACTCTAAAATATTGTATTTTGTCCCAAAAAAAATCGCAACGACTCAGCCAAAAGAAAAGAAAAAGAGGGGTTTTGCTCCAAAATACACACATTAAAAAAAAATGAAGAGGAGTTTAACCCCCCCACTCCCCCCCCCCCCCCCCCCCTGCGTACGCGCCTGGGCGGGACCTTCCTCGTCGAATTATCATCTTGAGAGACTGGTACATCGTACTAAGATGGGACAGCCCTCGCTAAATAATCTCGATGTGGAAGTGGTGGTGGGATGCTTGTCGGTATTAGGCTAGGCCGCTTCTCAAAAGAGTTTTTATCTTCAAATCCAGAGTTACCTGGATTCTGTGCAGGTTTAACACTCGGTTGCACGACGACAATCGTATCGGAGTTCATGGACATGATATCGTCTGGTAGAACTGGATTGACCTGAAAGAAATGTGTGTTTTATTTTGTTGTTGTTGACTTCTATCAATTTACTTTAATTGGCCAGCGTCAATAACATTAATTCAATCAATTAATGAGCATGAATAAAGACAACGCTAAAATTTATTTGTAAAAGTAATCGTAATATTATGTGAATATGAGTTACCGTCATCTAATGTCCTTTTTCAATTTTTTTTTCTTTTAAAACTTGTGTTACTTCTTAAAGAATAGGGATATTTGCATTATGGAAATATACTGGTTCACATCAACGTGATCAAATGAGATATAAAATAACAACAGATTTAGGGATAAATAATAGCGATATAACAAAGAAAGCACTACAAACCTCAGGGTCATCGTCGCCAGTGAAACTGTTGTTTATAAAAGTCGTGGATGTAGCATTCACCAATTTCTCTCTCCTATCCCGAAATAACAATCACGCAAAAATATTTAAGAAACTGGTATATTCACAGAATTTCCATTTGAAATAAAGTAACTCTGATTTTAACAAATCAACTGTTGAAGTCACCTCTTCTCAGAGTGCAACGTCTCCCTAAAATATATCTTTATCTCTTCTTTTTATTTATTCTAAATTCACAGCCAATGATTTAAACACTGCACATAGTCTGATACGGTGATCTCTTTAAGTTTATACACAGACAATGATCAATACAAGTTTAACATGATGACATGGCTTTAATTTTGGAATGAATTACCATGGTACTGGAATTAAGAAGAAAATTATTTTTTTTGGCATACACACTTTCAAAAAGTGATTTGTATTTCTTCCTTCTCACAATAAAGAGAAGGTTGAGTTTCGGGGAGAGGTGAACGATAATTTGTGAGCGTCATGATTTTTATTATGAAAGTGCTGAAGAACATCAGAGAGAATTTTTTTCCTAAAAAGCATGACTCTTCAGATGCTTTCATATTCTAAATATGACAAGTAACAGCAATATGCCACATATTTGTGTAGTCACATATACATCTTTCTGTGAACATTGCTTGTTACTTTACCAAGACTGGTCCAAATTTCTCATAATATTGATGACTCTAGAACCTTGTAGTACACACCAATACTTATATGCAACACGATCAACTTTTTTCTGATCGATTCCGAACCGTTTCTTTCAGGATGCAATCGCATGAAATAATTCAGGCATTTCAACAGACGTATGAAGAAAAAAATCACAAACTGCGCAAATATACTTCATGGATTATCTACGAATTGAACATACCTACGAACTTTGTAGAAACCTGCTGCTGCCAAGATGATTATGATGATAATTATTCCGATCAGCACGAAGTACCAGTAAGCAAAGCCTCCCTCCTAAAAGAAAATTAAATAATTTTTGTTTTGGTTGACTTCCATCAATGGACTATAAGTAAAAGATGACGCTAAAAGTATTTGGTGAAAATAATCATAATGTCATGTGATAATGAGTTATCGCCAGCGCATGTCCCACTTCCATTTTTCTTCTTAAAGAGTTGGGATAATTAGCATTATGACAACAACAAAAAAAGATCTTACACATACCGGTGCACATCAACGTGATCGAACATATTCAAAATTTTCAATCTCAACTACTTGCCATCAACAAAACGCAGTAACTGCATGACATTTGTACACATTACGCAAATCAGATACCTCTTGTAAATTTGTAATCAATTAGTTTTTAAAAAAGAGAAATAGAGAAAAAACAAACGAATCAGAATTAGGGTAAATAGGATCGATATTACATAAGAAGGGAAAAACACATTCTTAAAAAAAGAAAATCGTGTTCTTACCGGACCTGCTTCCGTCTGAGGCGCTGAAACTGCAATAAAATGTTTTTAAAAGAATTGCTTAGGGTCAGTTTTGTTCAGAGGTTTACCATCCAACAAATTACCGAATTAAGATCGATTATCTGATCTTATTGATGCACTTCATGTATAAACAAGAATTACACATACTATCAATTTGAGATCCGCATAGACTTAATAACATGATATTTCAAACATTCATAACTTTGTTTATCTATTGTTCTGCTTTCGTACGAATGAACTTATTGCAACGGTTGGATTGCCCTTTAAGTATAAACATAATATACTCAGTCATCTGTTTAATTCATCGTAAATGATCGTAAATGAACAGCCGATCTGAATTTAATAAATCAAATAATATCATATTCACAATCCTCTATAACTTTCAATGTTTATTGAATGATTCCTACCTTTCTTATAATTTTGCTTATTTTATCTCCGTATACCCCTCTGTGTCTTACTCCATAGTAACATTAGGTATATCAATTTAATGAACCATACTCACTTAGTTCACAGTTGGTTCCTGCATAATCTTCTGGGCATTGGCAAATGTAATAGACGGACCCATCCCCCGCAGTTATGACATGGCAGCTTCCATCGTTTTGGCATGGGCTAGAAGAACATGGCCCTGTGGGATTTTATAAATCAAAATATAACATATCCACAGGCCTCTATCATTACCAATTTTGAAAAAAATGCTTTCTTTTTTTTTCTTATTAATTGGATTATTTTTTCTCATTATACCCCTGTGTGTCTTACTTCACAAAAACATGTGAAATATCAATTCACTTATACTCACGTAGTTCACAGTTTGTTCCTACATAATCTTCCGGGCATTGACAAATGTAATAGACGGACCCATCCCCCGCAGTTACGACATGGCAGCTTCCATCGTTCTGGCATGGGCTAGAAGAACATGGCTCTGTGGGAGTCTCACAAAGCTCGCCTGAAAAGTCATCTGTACATACGCATCTGGAGAGAAGACAACGTACGCCAGAAATGGTTCAAGGAATATTATCACAATTTTATTATTGCAAAAATTTATTTCCAAAGGTACGGTAGTCTTTACCCATATTCACCATCCCGACCCAAGCGACTTACTGGTAGCTACCATTGATGATCTGGCATGTTCCTTCATTATAGCACACACTGGTACGACACAGTCCTGGAATGGGAGTCGGTTCCGGAGGTTTGTCGTTGCAATCGTATTTCCCATTAACATTAGCACAGATCTTGTTGGATGGGCACACTTGTTCATCCTGGCATTCATCAATGTCGATTTCACATAGTAGACCCCGGTATCCCGTCGACACACATTGGCACGTGAAACTGTTAAGACTGTCCTCACACCTTCCGCCATTCTGACATGGAGAGCTTGAGCACTCATCAATCTCAGTGTCACAGTAGACACCGGTATACCCTGACATGCAAATACATGTGTAGTTATTTACTCCGTCTTGACAAGTTGAATGTTTCTGGCACATGTTATCCACACATTCGTCTATGTTCACTGTACAGTTCTCTCCAGAGTAGCCAGGCCAACAGTCGCATGTGTATTGTCCGACTTGATCTGTGCAGTTACCATAAGAACAAGGATCGGGATCGCACTCATTGACATCCTCCTCACAGTTACCACTTTGAAAGCCAGCTCGGCATACACAAACATATCCGCCAACCTTATCTACGCATGCCGCGTCGTTCTTACATGGTTTGGATGCACACTCATCTCGAATATCTAACTCACAGTAGGTTCCTCCATACCCCTCTGTGCAATTGCAGGTAAATTCATTAACGCCATCTTGACAAGTGCCATAATTCAGACAGTCTACTCCGATACATTCATTGAAATCTGCATCACAGAAAACACCGGTGTAACCTAGAGCACAGACACAGTCCAGGACGTGATTGTCATTTTCACCCAGACATGTTGCACCATTTTGACAGGGATCAGAGTTACAGAAGTCGATCTCGAATTCGCAGTTGGCACCGCTATACCTTCTTGGGCAATCACATCGATAGTGGTTGAGTTCATTCTCGCACGTGCCTCCGTGTTCACAGGGTTCTGAAGAACACTCGTCTATATCGTCGCAGTTCTTACCTGCAAAATTAATGTTGAAAGCATTGGGAGTATGTTATGTCGTACTTGATATTATTTTCTAGTTTTGTTTTATTTTTCCTTAAATCTTAAGATATGTATTCTGAAATTTAAAAAAAATTACGTACGCGCTACATGAACGTGTATAAATGGTCAACTGTATTAAATGAATATGCTGTTACCTCGTGTACCATCTGGGCAGTTACATCTATAATTAGCCAAGAGATCTGTACAGACTGCGTTGAACTGACATGGACCTGAGTCACATTCATTGATCTCCTGTTAGTAAAGAAAAAGGAGAAAATTGTATTAATTGATTACCATTACTTGGTGCCAAACATAATACAAATTCAGTAAATACCGATGAAAGAAGGGTTGGGCTATCGCACTTTTTCAAATTTTCACAGGTAAAGGGAAACGAGGGAATGATAAAATGCCAAGTTCAATAATATTTTACAGGACGTAATTTCCGCCCATCACTGACCACTGTGTCGAGAAATTATCAACGATTTGTATAAATCTTGAGCAGAGATTCTCTAGTCGAAAATGGAAAAAGTTTTAATATTAGGCCAGACTATTACACAATTATTCTGACAAAGATGATCCACATCAACGTCATTAAGTCACTCTCATACTTTTGAACGCGAAGTTCGACAATGAGCTCGCTCAGAAAAGAGCTCGAAGCAAACTTTGGGTTATAGGGCCTAATATAGAACTCAAGTATTCACCATTATTACTTATAGCCATACAGGAAAACAAATGTGTCTTTTGGTTTGTAATACCTTTTTCTTTAAGTCACTGTCAATTTTCGTCACTAAATCTTTTCCTTTTAAATCGAAATTGAAACTTAAATTGAAATGAGATAGTTGTTTATCCCTGGTAAAAGGAGACAAAAACATAATGTCGCCAATGCGGCATCCGTTGGAGGAATTCATCGTTAAGGGTGAGTACCCACTACATATAGCTAGACAAAAGGTTAGCTCTACACACGCACCATCAACCATTCAAACCCTTATCCAAATAAATATGTTCAAAATCATGGCTTACCATACTGCAGTAAGATCCTTGCCATCCTGGGTGACAAACCCTAGCTCCTGTAATATCATTACAATCATAGTGGCCTTCAATGTTGTCTCTCGCTAAACAATATGTGCTACAGCCTGAAGACGTTCCGTAGTAATGCACATCGCAGTAAACCTTCACTGCAACCCTCGTTCTAACAAACAGAAAAAAGGACACATATTTCTAGTTTTCGAATTTGAAAATGCTGTCAATTTTGTGAATATCAGTTCTGAAGAAGCTATGTTTTGTTCTACATACCTAGAGATAGTAGACACAATCATAAATCAAATCATGTATTCTTTTGAGTTGGATTTTGAATTATCCTTATCACCAAACATAACTTTTCTAAAAACGTAAATTTCATTAAAAATTTACATAGATGCAAAGCTGATGTGTTACTACTCGTTAAACTTGTTTGGATGTTTCTAGTATACAAGTTTGATCATGGGCAGATGAATGGCACTTCGTCTGTAGACTTCCCCTTTGATTGTACATGATATGTTAATGTGATCTTCAAAATATACCATTAACACCATTAGGATTCTGATTCGCAACTAGCTACATTCACGATCTATTAATATACCTGTACGCCTCTACGAAGCAACAGCACATCAGCATCTTCTTCAGATTCCAAGAACCCAGTTACCTTTGCAGTTGAGAACTATAATAGCATTAGAGAGTTCAGAATCCAAGTTGAAATCCTACCTTCTTTTACAGCACTGCTCGACATGAGAATATGGCACTCATTTGGACTCTTATATATTTTACCCCTTGTGTGCCTCGGAATAGAAAGTTCTAGAAAATGGCGCAACAACAATGCCTAGTACCACAAACAATCTCAAAGACGAATACAGTTAGTGTATTCGAAGATGGACACTACAAGTTGAATTTACTTACAGAGATGTTCCTGCTCCATTCTGTGTCACGGTGTGTTCTGTTGCCGAAGCTGATGTTCGATCGGGACTATAGGGGTAATTGTAGCCGTAATAATCTATCTTGTCGTCTGCATTAGATGGATCATAATCCCAAACTTCAATCTTGGACTTGAATCCAATCTATGAAAGATACAAAATTAACAGATTGAAAATGTACCGTGTATAAGCAGACACGACTGCCACCTCGCCCCCTCCCGAACATTTTCAAAATAGCAATACCTGGGCAACCTTCAACCCACGAATATAGGGTAATTCCATTGTTCCATAGTTTTACAAACTTTTTCAAAAAACTTTCTTATTAGTTATCCAATTTGCTCAGAATTGTTTTGATTTGTTTGTCCGATTTTTCTGCTTCTATTGAAAGTAAGTTAGTTTTTGGAGTGGACTTGCTCTTTAAGCACTTGACTTGAAACGCAAAAGTCGAGGGTTCGATCCCTTGACATGGCACTAATGTTCTTCGGCAAGGCATTAATCTACACGTGCCACTCCATATCCAGAAGAGAAATGGGGCCTGGAAAGATGATGAAAGCCTTTGTGTTAGTAATTGCCATATGGCCTCATGGTGTGTGGGAAGAATTCTTCCCAGGGAGTGGAGATGGTGCACATTGTGCGTGAATGAATCCGATGGCCGGGGTAATAATATCTGTAAAGCGCTTGGAGGCGGTATTTCGTAATAGGCGCTATATATATATCCAGATTATTATCATTATATCTATTATTATTATTTATATTTATAATGATTTTTATTTTTTAAAAAGATGTACTCACCGACCATGAATTGACAGTCAATACAATTGGGTTTACTAGCTTGCTGGTTAGAGCTGACGGGAAGCTGAAATCATCGTTATTTTCATAGAGGCGGTCCGTTTGAAAGTTGCCATAAGCACAATCGGTCATATCGTTATTCCTAAGAAAAGGCAGATTAGAAGAAAATGCAGTGAGATGGAAAAACTTGATCACTACAATTCCAGTGATAAAAGCAACGGCATTTTAGACTGTAAGATCTTTTGTTTGTTACCCTGTATGAAAATAAAATTGTCTTTCGATTAATGCCATTGTTTATCAATGCCAAAAATATTGGCCCTACGAGTTATCACCGTTTGTGATATGGTGTAATATTGAAGCCATAAAATTATTGCGCTTCAAAATGATCAAAAAGTGCCTCAAAATAGTAAAAAAATCTGTTACCATACTCATTTTCCCCCAATAGACTGAAGTGTTATAAAAACCGTTAGGAAAACGGTTTTGAAATTTCGAATTCCAATCATAAATATCTTGATAATCAGACGGGCGATCGGCTTGTAAACGTCATTGGATTCCTGACTAACCTAGAGGTCTATAATTATGACAGCAGCATGAGCTTAATCCAGGATTTTTTTAGAATCTGAGACAAAGATACCCGATCCCTTTAAAAAAGAGTTTGTATGAAATAGGACAAATGTGGTGACTATTATAGCTGTAAGACAGAAAGGCCATCATGGATCTTCTTACCCTCCGTAGACATCGAAGCAGAGATTGAATCTGTTGTCGCAACTACTACCACAACCTATAAAGCTGTCGCAACATCCCCCGTCAAGTTCTATGTGACCGGTGTTTTCGAAGTCGACAAGTTCGAATGAAACTTTCACCCTTCCATGGCTCTGTGATGTGAAAGAAAAGGTTAAATCACAATTTTACATGTGAAGATAAATAATTAAAATCTAGGATAACATTACAGGTTCAACTTTCATCGAGCTTCATCATGCAGACGCTTGTTGCTCATCTTCTGTTTGGGAACAAAATTGTTTCCTTTTAGAGTTATTTGTATAGGTGTGTACGAGGCGAGGGAGAGGGCTGCAGAGGCTGCCGCCCCCTTCGAATAATGAATACTTTTAAATATTAATATTCGGGAAATCGTTTGGAGCAATAGTCAACTCATCGGGCACTCGGGCAGAGATTTCCTTTTTTGCTCCTCGCACGTGAATTGTTAAAAACAAGTGAAAATATTCTGGCAACAGACGTCAGCACCGATGACAAAAATTTGCCTGTATTGCTTTGCAGACCCAACAGCTTCTGAATGTCTAAGGATTTGTTTGTTTAAGTAAAATGTTTCAAAATTAGGAATTGCATGTACAAAGCGGTTCATACGACCAACACTCTTTCTTCTTTTAAAACTGGACTTAAAATTACTCACCTGCATGATGCTCAATGCATATTGTTAAATTTCAATATCCTTTTTATACAATGCATGCGAAACGAATAATCACACTGTGCCACATTGTATGTACCATGGCACAATGAAGATGTGTGATCTAATGTAAGTTAACATTTAATATTTCTTTAATCTTAAGTATGTTGATTATTAATTTAAATTATTTGTGTGCGCCTTGAGCATCTCTAGAGATGGATATGTCGCGCTTTGCAAATATTGTTATTGTTATTATTATTTATTATTATGAAGTCACATGCCATGAACAACAATACATTAGTTATCATTGTCTGTTCTAAACTAGCGAATCGTTATGGACGGGGAAATCTGAAAAGACTTTGAAAGAAGGGATCGAAAGGTCCTACCTTGCTCAAGAATACATACAACTGTGTGACAATGGTTCTTGTACCGCATTAGTCAATTCCTTCGTTGTTACTTTCATTCTTTTCGTTTCTTTCGAGCCTGTTTAATAATCTGCTTATGTTTGTTTAAGGGTGTGTTTAAGCGACACTTTTTCACTCTAGAAACACTGTTTTCAAAGACGTTTGGTTTAAAACACGGTTACGTTAAAGCGATTTCAAGCGATTTGTCGTCGGTCGTAAAATATAAACGTGTTTCAAAACACAAACATGAAACGCTGCAAAGATGCGTTTTGTATTGTGATTCTGCAGAAATCGTTTGAACTCAACGGAGATCTTAATCACGATTCCATAACGTCATTATCGTGGCCTGTTTCCTGTTTGGCCGACAATGGACCGTAAATAAATTCAGAAAGCACTCGACGAAGTTGACCTTAACTTCCTGGGCCAAACTGCGCAGTGTGATGAGCAGTGGGTCAAAGTGGCTGGGCTTAAAATGAGCGAGAATCAGCGTTGATGAAAATCGCGTGAACGCTGTCCCGAAGTCACCTCGTTTTTTAACGCCGTTTTGATTTGTGATTCTAGCTTTTAAAAACTCGCCTGAACGTATTGGCAGATCTGGAGATAAAGTCACCGCGTCCTGGGAGGAAAGGAAAAATAGGCCAAAACGAAAAACAAACCTTTTAAACATTTTAGGGGTTAAACAAAGCCACAGACGGCCCTCCAATACATTCTCTTCACTGAGAGGAATTCTCCCGTGTAAATATGATTCCGGGAAAGGGTTATCATTTTATTGATGTTCTTAGTGTTGTTAATATTGTTGTTGTCGTTGTTGTTACTATCGTTTTTTTTTTAATGTTGCTCACTTTCCCTATTCCCATGAACATTATCAAAGCCTGGAGAAGGACGGCAGGTTTCTTGAAATAATGTTCCCATTAAATATTTGGCCTCCTTCCCTTCAGAAAACCCTGGATCCACCACTGACATCCCCCCTGCTTATTCAAAATCATAACATGGCATAATCATAATCATAAATCTGGATAAATTCAGGCTCAGGCTCGCATCGTGCGAAAAATTTGATAATAGAATACCTGCCGATAGAATTTAAATGCCAACAATCAATTGGTAACTTAAGTCAGAACGCCCAAACAAAGTACGAGCATTTTTATGTGATCATATGTTATTGAATTATATTACATACCTTTTCTACTTTTCTGAAAAATAGAGTAAAGCAACGCAGACGATTGTCAAGCATCTCCTTGCTAATAATCTCAAGATTAGAATATAACTCATCTTTGCTCATCATAAATAATATAAGTTAAGATCATGTACTAAAAAACATTTCTGTCTGACAAAATGCCCCCCCCCCAAAAAAAAAAAACACAACAGAACACAACAACAACAACAACAAAAACAACACAACAACTACAATGCTGCTGCTGAAATGGACAGGTGAATCCATGCTTCACTGATCACGTTAAGGCAGATGAGTCACAATTCAAACAAGCACCACAACATCTTTTCTACATGGGAATCACTGTAACTCTTCAATATAAGTATAGAAAAGGCTCTATTGGCTGACATCATTGTTGATAAAGTTATGTCAATATTTGGAACTATATTTCCAGGCTCAAGGAAAATCACTCCCACAAACTTCAACAGTTGATACCTTAAAGTTTAAAGATGAGCTTGAGTTCTGTTACTGATAGAAAATAAATTCACAAAAAAATCCAACAAAATTCACACTGAATGTTCAAGATTGCGAATACAAAACATATGCCAAATGATTTTGGTAGAAAATGTATAGGGACTGAGTAATGAGCATAGAAAGATAAGGAAATCACGATAAGTAGACCTGACACCATTTGCTTTATGATTAAACACAGATCACTATGTGCAAAAGAGAATTGTGGCTTTAATTGAAGATGATTTGCAGCAATTTTATGTGAGGTCGTTTTTATCTTACTGGTTCAAACAAGAGATCTACTGCAGGATAACAACTCCAGAATGAATTATAGCCATGTTCTCTCGACACAAGATTCCCATACCAGAGCTCAAGATTAGCTTTAATTACATGGTACTACAATGAAACAGAGGGAGATCCAGGATTTTCCAATGGGAGCAGATCAATCTTAAAAATTGCTCAGGTCAATAATCTAATCCCATAACCCTTCCCATTAGTTTAGATCATAATGACAGGCGATAATACCATCATAGTTATAAAGACGATTGAAACTGATACAGAATCTTTAAAAGGATTTAGAATCCATTCGTTATCTCCACTGTTTGGGCGAATCTTTCTCTAGTTACTCATTTGCACATAATAAGCAAATAATTACCGTTGCGAAGGTGATGGGACAAACTATTAATTTCGAGACGATCTAGATGTAGCTATCTTTCTGAAGCGAAGCTGAGGAAAGATAGCGTATACATTCAGATCACCGAGGAAGTGATAGTATGCCATCGCCTGAAACCAAAAGGTGATTATTTGCTTTATACTCCACATCGGAAACATTTCACTTATTCCGTCATTTTAGAGCAACAAATCATCAATTAACAGCTAGCAAACGGTGTACGATACGTACAGTGTATGCAGTATGGCCATAGTTCGCGCATCGACCAAAGGTTCGCACATACTAAACGCGCTTAAAGAGGAGAGCAATACGTAACGTATATTATATCCTGCATCAAAAATTTGTTGGCTTTTGATTGGTTGAGAGCTCGTCACATGACCAGAAATATTAGACCTATTTTAAGAAAGTACTATATGAGAGTACTATTTCGGTTTATTATTTGGAAGTTGAAAAAAAAATGATTTTAATTTTTTTTCTTCAAATCTTAATTTAATGAAAACAAAATATTTTAAATCTTTTTAGATAAAAATTGAAATCTGTTTTTCCCAAAAATGTTTTTTTTTTTTTTTTTTAAATGAATTTTTGATGCAGGATATAAAACATATATACCATGCCATGCCGAGGTACTGGTTAAACTATGAGCCTCGGTGACCCCAAAAGTACCATTTGCTTCGGGCCTGCGCCCCTCAGCAAATAGTACTATTGGAGTCACCTCTTACGCATAGTTTTAACCAGAACCTCTCAAGGCAGTGTATATTTGTATACTATTATTGAAGTGCGTTTTATGTACTGCACTGCAACGCACTTTCACTGAAGATAGTAGTACTATCTACACAGTGTAACGAACTTTTCTTCTCCCATCAATGATAGGCGAACTACTTTCATCACGTGATTTACTTTTGACCAATCGTAGAGCAAGATTCTTAGTATGTGGAATATATTGTCCAAATAAGTTCCCAATAATCAAGGATGAACTCTACCAGGTAGGTGCTATCCCGGGGTGCTATCGCTATAAATAAAACGTTACGGATACGTAAAGATATAGTGAACTTTTTGGTGTAAAAAAGGGATATTTGGGGAACAACTTTGATGAACAATGGAATGAATTATAATCGAGATTATTATTCCCTTCGCCATATTAGAATACAATATCATTATTGTAAAAAAACACAATAATGTGAGGAAATCCTTGGCCGAAAGCAAATGCAGTGGGTTTCTAAAAATTGAACCTCATAACAATTATAAATAAATTGTAGTCAAAATTATATAACAACAATAGTACGGCTCGTAAAATATGACAACTTGGTCTATGATGACAAGCAAAGCTAATTGTGTTTGCTTAGAACTAGTAAGATGTGAGGATGAGACGGAGGTTGGTAGTAGGTAACCCTATAAGTGAACTTCTTAATGTGTCTTTATTTTTTCTACAAATGTTTGCGTAATAACTAAAGCAGGTTTCGATCAAGAAATGGAGAAAGGAAAGATTGACAGACACATTCGCTAGCCTGAACTTGCAGCCAACCACGCGAATCAACTGAATCCAGGTAAGTCAAATATCTTGAAAGATTGTATAAATCATATAGAATGGAGTTACATTTTAAAAAAAGGACAACTTCAAGACTGCCCCAACGATTCTTAAGATGAATACTATCCATGAGAAGAAAGTAAGGTTGTCTCAAGCATCATGGAATTCGATGGTATTGCCCTCACCAGCAACTTCCTGGTGAAATTATATACCTAGACTTTTAACCTACTGTCCAAGGCAACTTTTACCTATTACAAAGTACCGGGCTGCATACATTTCTCTCCTCATTTTCTGTGACATGGATTATGTAAACATCATGTAAACAAAATATTGAAATTAAACAAATTAGCGAATTATTGTTTTCTATGCGGTGATTACTTGAAACGGTGAGCATGAATATCAAGGCTGTGGTAAGGAAAGTTATAATGAAGACAAAATGATAAATACTTATCTAGGCCTAATGATTAAAGATAAACTTTAGTACTGGTAATGCGATTGCATTGTGAAAGAAAAGGTGTGGAAAGGATCAGAAACGGTTGATCATGTAGCATGTAAGTATTGGTGTGCACTGCAAGGTTCTGGAGTCATCAAAATCATAATAAATTTGACCGAGTCTTGGTAAAGTAACAAGCACTCACATAGAAAGCTATATATGGGACAACACACATGGTGTCGGGGCTAGTACTACCTTGATTTCCTTGTCTTTCTATGCTCATTACTCAGCCAGTATACATTTTCTTCCAAAATTGTTTG